CCCACAGTGTCCCTGTATAGGGTTTTCGAGGAGCAGCAGCTGGTGAGCTTGAAACTGCTGACCTTGCAGTTCAAACCGACTTGCAGTCCAGCAAATTTAACCCACAGAGCCATACTGGAACTCCAACACATACACACACAGATACACACACATACACACTAGATGTATACTGTGCACAAATGTTCAACCTTGAAGAGTACATGCTGATTGGCATAAAGACCAACAACATTTTGGAAATACTCACTTTGAGGTTTGGAACGTTTGATATTATCATTACAACCCTAGCAACCGGGACTATGCTAGGGAATACTTGCTAGCTTTAGCAAGGCTTCAGCAAGCCTGTTGGACATACTGTTTTTCAGGAACACAGGTTTTACTGAGTGGTTTAATGGGTAAGGTATAGAACTTTGACCCCCAAGTGTAACCTGTGATAACCAGAGACCCATTTTGACCTCCGGCTGTCTGCCAGGGGTGAAAGTGCACTGTGTTATCCTGGTCATTCCTTGGCTTTTTTTAGGAAACTGGTCGTGTTGGTTCAATCAATACTGGAAAGGGAAAACTGGTATCCTTGGTCATCAAAGCAAACTTAAAAACTTAAAAGACAAGTTAGTATTTCATACAGATGTTATTTAATTAAGAACATATTTTGATCACAAGTCCGATGAATATAGTCCTTAGCCCTCAGAGAACTTTGGATTGTGAATTCTTGTTTAAAATCCAGCTGACACAATTTAAGCTTGTGTTCTAAAGTTTTCCTTAATGTTTATAAGTTATACCTTCTTCCACTGTGGTACTCCTCTTAAGTCTGAGTGTTTGGGCATGAAGAGAAGGTTTGGAGACATAAAAAATCCTGGAAAGGAGATTGGCAGGACTTTATAAGGTACGTTGTGAAGTAGTAGTTGTTTCCTAAGCAGTGACTGAGAACTATTTGGGGAGTGGAAACAGAACGAATTGAAGGTGGAAGAACTTGGTTTTGATTTTCATAGGCCCAAAGAGACTGTTCCTAGTCATTATATCAAGTAATTACAAAGGTTCGGTAAATCCAAAACCATGAAAATTTTTGCCAGGTCCTGGTGTGGCGCTGTAGGATAAGCACTGAGTTAACCACAAGGTCAATGGTGCAAACCCACTAACCACTCCATGGAAATCCTCTACAGAGTTGCGATGAGTAGGAACATAACAACAACAACACTTCACTAAAGGTCATTGATTGGTTTGAGAGTTATTCCCACCAGCTCTGCAGTAGGGAACATGGTCAGAAGATGCTGTTGTTAAGTGCCATTGAGTTGGTTCCAACTCTTAGTGACCCTGTTGCGTTCGAATAGCAGAAATTTTGGTTAGCAGTCCAGTATTTATCCTACAGTACCACACCAGAAGTCCTTCTTGTTGTCATTAAGTGCTGTTAAGTTGGTTCCGACTCACAGCTACCCTGTATAGGGTTTCTGAGAAGTGACTGGTGGGTTTGAACCACCAGTCTTGTGGTTCACGCTGACCTTGTGTTCCAGTGCAGTATCCTACAGCGCCATATCAAAAGTCAGTAGTTTTTACTACTCAAATGTTCAGTTGTGCCTATTTGTTACACATAAAAAAGAAATCATGGCCCATCAACAGAGCAAGCATTATGAGAATGGCACAGGACTGGGCAGTGTTTCATTCTGTTGGATACAGGGTTGCTAGGAGTTGGAACTGACAGGACAGCACCACTTTGCCAACAACAATTTCTAAAATGTTGTTGATGCCTTTATGATCTATAATTATTGCAACTGATAGGAACTCAAGTTGCTCAAGATTGTTGATTACAAATATTGTAGATGTGTTCCACCAGCACAAAAAAGAAAATGACTTCATTCTTTGGACAACAGACAGTCCTGAAATTCTAGTTTAAATATAGCGAGTGGACCTATAGCGAGCTCTAAGAATGACTCTTATTTATAAGGAACTTCAGAAGATTCCTGAGTTGCCAAAAAGACACTGCAGTATTGCATTCTGGAAATTCTTGAGTTTTTGTAAATCCCTTACCAATAAAGGCAAATTTTGATGGAAATAATGTAGAAAAAAAATTTTAAAGGGTAAAATAAATGGTATGAGAATAATGTTTTTCACTTTAAAGACCCTCAGGAGACCTGGTGTGGGCCTATAGGATAAGCACTCCACCATGAGGTCAGTTTGACCGGCAACGCCAGCACTTAAGGAACAGCAATGTTATAAAATATAAAAGCACACTATCACATCTTTTTCTTGAGGAGCAACTGGTGGGTTCGAACTGCAAACCGTGCAGTTAGCAGCTGAGCACTTAACCAGTGTGTCACCAGGGCTCTTTATTGTTAAGTACCATCAAGTCAGTTCTGATTCATAATAGAGTTTCTGAGGAGCAGCTGGGGAATTTGAACCACCAACCTTACAGTTCGCTGTCCAGGGCTAATCCTACAGTGCTACACCAGAAGTCCTCTGTGAAGATTACAGCCTAGGAAACCCTATGGGACAGTTCTACTCTGTCCTATAGGCTTACTGTGAGTTGGAATTGACCCAATGGTATTGGGTTTGGTTTGGGGTTATGGGGGCAATTCAGAAAAATTTGATCACAAAGGATCTGAAAATCAGAATATTAGGTTCTTCAGAATATTAAGCTCCTCTCTGACTTTTGGAGTCCTGGTGTTGCACTACAGGATAAGCATTGGACTTCTAACACAAGGTTGGGGGTTCAAACCCATGAGCTGCTCCCTGCAAACCCTGTACAGTGTCGCTATGAGTCAGAACAGACCCAAGGGCATTTAACAACAACAACTTTGGCTATCAGGAGCCCTAGTGATGCAGTGGCCAAGCACTTGACTGGTGACCAACAAGTTTGTAGCTTGAACTCACCAGCCACCTGTCCTTGCATTAACCATCAACACTCACAGAAGCAGACGTCAAGAAATCAAAAGATGTGTTGCACTGGGCAAATCTGCTACACAAGACCTCTTTAAAGTGATTAGGAAGAAAGATGTCAGTTCGAGGACAAAGGCGCACCTAACGCAAGCCATGGTATTTTCAATAACCTCATATTCATGTGAAAGTTGGACAGTGAATAAGGAAAATCAAGAAGAATGCATTTTAGTTATGGTGTTGGAGGAGAACATTGAAAGTACCATGGGCTGCCAAAAGAACAAATAGATCTGTGTTACAAGAGATACAGCCAGAGTGCTCCTTGGAAGCCAGGATGGCCAGATTTTGTCTCTCATACTTCGGACATATTGGCAGGAGGGACCAGTCATTGGAAAAGGATGATATCAAGTTTGGTCAAGTGGAGAGTCTGAGAAAAAATGGAAGACCCTCAAGGAGATGGATTGGCACAGTGGCAGCAGCAATGGGCTCAAGTGTGGCAACAATAGTGAGGTTGGCCCAGGATCAGGCAGTGATTCCTTCTGTTGTGCATAGGGTCACTATAAGTTGGTACTGACTTGATGGCACCTAATGACAACAACTACAGCCACGTGTGCAGGAGAAAAGATTTACAGCCTTGGAAACCTTACTCTGTCCTTTGGGGGGCCACTATGAGTCAGCATAGACTTCACCGGTAATTGATTTACTTAACTACTTGTAAGTTTCTTTATCTACTGAGATGTAAACGGCAAGATAAAGAATAGCTTTTCTTTTTTTTTAATCACTTTGGACAAATCATTAAACATCTCTAGACCCTTTTCTTTATCCTTTTTCTTGTTACACAATAGTGCACACTTCTCTCAGAAAAATGTAGAGCTTAGATGTGTATGTTAACCAAAGTGTACAACACACAAATTAATTGACACTGTGAGTCCTTTTTTTCTTCAGATTGTGTATAGGACCTCTCTTTCAGCGATGTCAGTATGAGGACTAAGGTGCACCTGACCCAAGCTATAATATTTGCAATAAACTCATATGCAAATGAGTGAAAGTTGGGACAGTGAATTGAATTCATTGATGCATTTGAGTTACGGTTTTGGAGAAGAATAAATATATTTTAAAAGAATGTTATAAGGAGCGCTGGTAGCATAGTGGTTATGAATCCGGCTGCTAACCTCAAGGTCAGCAGTTCGAAACTACCAGCTGTTTCACCAGAGAAAGATGAGGCGTTCTGCTCCCGTAAAGATTTACAGCCTCGGAAACCCTGTACTGGGTGGTTATGTGTTGGAAGGGGACTCCATAGCACACAACACCAACAATACTGTGGAGGGCCTTGGTTTGGGATTTAAGATAAGGCAAATTGGACGCTACTTTTTTGGGCAAGTGGTATATCTTTTCCGTTGTAAAATCAGGGGAACACCTTTTTAGATAAGCCTGTGAAAAAGAAAAATGGCTGAGAAAATACCGTTTTGCTGATCCCAGGATGTAATATCAACATCCTGTTAGTTCTTAAAGCATCAATTACTCAGAGGAGAATCCTGGACTCATTTTTCTGGTGAAAACATGGATGTTTAGGTTTTCAGCCTCTAAAGGGTACGTTTATTCGAATCACCTACTCACATTAAGGAGCCCACCCTCCACCTGCCAACTGTCTTTAAAACCCTCTGTCCATTTGGCCTCTAACGTTGCTTACGTTGTTCCGACTCTAACGCCGCCTGGTGGCTATTTCTTGAACTCGCCTCTGAGCTGCGGGGTCTTGGGCCGTGGCTAAGCATGTCCATAGATTTGCCTAATTCTAGATAGCCTGCCTTTGACCCTCCTCACCTGAGGATTTTATGGCGGCAATAAGGCGTCTGAAGTTTAGGCGAAGAGGGGGTCGCGGCGTTCTCTCCTTTCGCTCAAGTACGACGGAGTCAGGCACTCCTTGGACTGCTAGCGACCCGGAAGTCGCCTTCAGCGGTAGGACCCCGTTGCCGAGCGCGGGCGCACGGGGCGGAGCTTGGAGGAGACGAGGAAGGGGACGCTGTGGCTCCCGCTCGAGTTGGCGGTCCGCTCGGACGCAGCCAGGCAGACGTCGGGTTTCCAGGGCTAGTGGCCGCTGTCTCCCAGAGGCACATTCTGCCACAGCCGGAGGTGACATGAGTGCCGCGGGGCTGCTAGCTCCGGCCCCGGCCCCGGCTGGAGCGCCGCCGGCTCCGGAATACTACCCCGAGGAGGACGAAGAACTGGAGAGTGCCGAGGACGACGAGCGCAGCTGCCGGGGCCGCGACTCGGACGAAGGTGGGCCCGTTTGGTTCTCTGGGCAGCCCTGGGCGGTGGTGGTACCCCTCGGGATTCGGCGGGTGACCTCCGGGGGCGTCGGGCCGGTCAGAGGGGCAGCTTAGAAGAGCAGGGCTCCGCGAAGTTACTTCCACTTGCGCTGGGGCCGGGGAAAACCCTTGAGTACGTTGTATCCCGACGATTGTGGGGAGAAGGGACTTAAGGAGAGGTTGTCCAAACTGAAGGTCCCGTTAAGATTCTCCTTTTCTTCCCAACTGTCCGTGTGGAGCCTCTGGTCTCCACTGAAAGGACTGGGGAAACCAGTGAGAGATTACTGGGTACGGTCATTTTTGTTTTAGTTGCAGAGGGGATGAGAGCGAAGCCCAGTTTGGCTTCCAGATTCCCAGTTTACTCCCCTACCCCCGTACATGTCTCAGTCAGCCCTATTTGGGGTCAGTTGGTTAAAAGAACGCGACACGGAGTTACCCAGATCTGAGTTCCTGTTTAGCTGTCACTGAAGCCAACTTTTGTGACCTTCGGCAACTTTCAACTTCGTAGCCCAATTACCATACCTTGAATCGGGCTGATAGTAGAACTTCCTAACGTAGTTCTGAGGATTGAATGACATGTGTGTATAAAGTACTTGGTCCAGTGTCCGGGTATTTAGGAAATAGACTTTTGTTACACCGCTGGGGAGACAGGCACTGGGAAGGAGGAGGATAGGTTTAGTGACGCCCAGGTAGTGTTTTCAGATCTCTGCTCTTGATCCTACGCAGGACTGTCTTGCAGAGCCTTATTTTTAAACTGAGCTTTATGGTTGGGCAGATGAGCCCTGCAGGTACTGTAAGGTACGCACTGGCCTGCTAAGCACAGATCGGTAGTTCAAATTCCCTTGGTGGGAGGACGATGAGGCTTTCTGTTCTCACAAAGATTACCTCATAAAGATATCTTGTCTGGGATCGCTGTGGTTGGAAGTGATTGATGACAGCAGGTTGGGTTTTGTGAATTTTGCAGTATGGCAGAGTGTGAGCAGGGAGCTGTCTGTAGGAGAATGTGAAGCAACTAAAAAGGAGAAGGGAGCTATAGTCCAATTTAGGGTGAAGTGTTGATCTCAGTCCCCCAAGTAACTTGGCAGCCAGCATGGGACAGGAGCTCAGGGAAGGTCTTCTGACTGAAGGAGGGCAGGTGGGCTTGTGGGTTCGATTGAGGGAGGACTTTATAAGTCTTCAGAGATCAAGCATTTTGGAAGTGTCCAAAGGGTTATTTCTTTGTTGAAGACGTTGTTGTTAAGTGCTATATGGTTGGTTCATACCTGTAGTGACCCTGCATAGAGTTTCCCAGGAGCAGCTGGTGGGTTTGAACTGCCGACTTTTGTGCTGTTCCACTGCTCTGGAATTCATCACTTAGTGCAGGGGTGAATTTACTTGGAAACCCGATACAGGGTCGCTATGGATAGGAATCGACTTGATGGATTTAACAACAACCACCACCCTTAAGGGGATTTTGGTTAAGTTACCTGTGAAGATTGCTATTTGCTTGGAGTTCAGGTGTAATGATGTAGGAGAAAGAAGGCAGGTGGTTCAAATTTACCAGCTGCTCCTTGGAAACCCAGTGCAGGATCATTAAGAGTTCCAATGGATTCACCTGTATGCAGTTAACAACAGATGACGATAACTGTAAAGATCAGATCTCACCTGAGAATTTGATGGAGTCACTGCACTACTTTCAATGGCCACGAGGAGGAACTCTGAAACAAAATTTGATTTCCCCCCTTCCAGTAAACCAAAATCTCAAACCAAAACCAAGCCTTAGAGTGGATTCGAACTCATTCACCCCATAGGAAGGAGTAGAACTGCCCACAGGGTTTCCTACGCTAGAGTCTTTACAGAGGAGTCTTGGTGTGGCGCTGTAGATTAGTGCGCTGGACTGCAAAAGTCACTGTGAACTGCAAGGTTGGCGGTTCAAGCTCACCAGTTGCTCTTTGGAAATTCTGTACAGGGTTGCTGTGGGTCGGAACCGACTTGATGGCACTTAACAACAACAGCCCTTACAGAAACAGACTGCCATATTGTTTGCTTGCAGAGCAGCTAGTGGGTTTGAACCGCTGGCTTTCTGGTTAGCAGTGGAATACTTTAAACACTGTACCACTGTTTTGTTGTTGTACCACTTGTTGTTGTTGTTGTTGTTGTTAAGTGCCCGTGGAGTCGATTCCAACACATAGGCACACTGTACAGGGTTTTTGAGGAGTACCTGGTGAGCTTGAATTGCCCACCTTGTAGTTCACTGCATTAACCACCAGGCCTCCAAATGAGGGATAAGGCTACTTAATAACAAATTAGGCTCTCTATGCTAAAATGCAATGGTACCATATTGCATCAAAATACTAATTTCAAAACTATCCTCTCAGAGTGACAGGAATCTCTCATTGAAGACACTGAAAGGAAATCTTTT